TGCAACAAAAGGTTGAAGCTCTCGAAACCTTTAACCAACAGCTTATACAGATGTGAAGAGAAGACAACCAGTATGCTTATCAGCGTGCTACTCAATGTGCTGCTCTTGCTGAGTCACAAAATTTTTAAATAATCTCAGGCAAGATGAAAAACTACCTGAGGAGACAGACATTCATGACTACGATTACTTTCTCTAACCCTATCATCCAACTCAAATCATCTCCAATCTTTCCATTCTTCCTTCTCTTTATTCCACTTCAACTCATCTGTTTTAAACTTATTCCTCTATTCATCAAACACCGAAGTTCTAGAACAAGTCATATGAAATGTTAAAATATTATTAGAAATTTTTATTTTATATTTCCTTTGAACTATTTTATATATTTAAACTTTAAAACATTATACTATATATTTTATTATAAAAAAAAAATAATAGAAGAAAACAAAAAAAAAAAAAAAAAGATAAAACAAAAATGACAAAAAAAAAAAAATTATATACATAACAGATTTAAAAACCAAAACCCGATATTCTATCCCTATTATTATTATTTCTCTTCCTTCTTCTTTCCTCTGTCTTTAACCTTCTTAATTCCTCCTCATCATTTGCCAACCTTGCCCTCAACCTATTTCTTTCATCTAACAATCGATTATACCACTGCTCCAACATCCACCCGTTCTGTACTCTTGAAACCGCATTAGCCCTCAACTCTACCAATTCTGTCTCCAAACTTTGTATTCTTCTTCTCTGTAAGGCCACCAACCAAAGTAAACTATAAAAGTTTTGTCAGTGACAAAAAAAAAAAAAAAAGAAGAGAAGACAAAATTTTTTAAATTAATATTTACCGACTATTCTCATCTTGGACCACCCCCAAGGCCTCATATAAGGCATTATTGCCAGAACGACGAGCATGACGAACATTTCCTGGGAGACTGTATCGAGGTATCTTATTATTATTGTTATTATTGAAGTTGTTGTTGTTGTTGATATTGAGAAGTTGAATTTTTTTTTTTTACAAAAAAAAAAAAAGAAGCGACAAAAGAACTATAATCTTTAATGAACAATGATGAAACAAAATTAGAAAGTAATTAGAAACAGATTTACCAAATCTGGAAATCAATTAGAAATTAACTTAACAAATGTCAAATAGTAGAAATTTGTAAATCGCATGATTGCAAATCACATGAAATTCTGGAATTTTATTGGACACTTGAAGTATCCTAATGATCTCCAAAAAGGGTACAAAATTGAAATTTAGTA